CACACTGCGGGGAGCTGCAAGCTGTCCCCAACCCCAAAGCCCAGACCCCTCCCACTCTTCCTGAGGCAAGGTGTTGGCGGCAGGAAGGAGCTAGGACTTTAATCCAGTTCCCAAGGTTCCCTCGTGGTGTACTCACCCTGAGGGAAGATTCCTCTTTGGCCTGGAGAAAGTCAAGGACTCAGTCACTGCCTTTCGCCAGTGGCTTTGGCCTGAGTCGCCAACATTGGATCCAGCCCAGCAGGGGCACCCCCAACCGTCATCACACTGTAGGGAGCTGCAAGCCGCCCCCAACCCCAAGGCCCAGACCAATTTGTTCTATTTTTTTTTTTTTAGAGAGATTTATGTATTTATCTATTTATTTATTGGAAAGGCAGATTTACAGAGAGAAGGAAAGACTGAGAGAAAGATCTTTTGTCTATTGGTTCATTCCCCAAGTGGCTGCAACAACTGGAGCTGAGCCAATCTGAAGCCAAGAGCTCCTTCCAGGTCTCCCATGTAGGTGCAAGGTCCCAATATTTTGGGCCATACTCTACTGCTTTCCCAAGGCACAAGCAGGGAGCTGAATGGAAAGTGGAGCAGCCAGGATGTGAACTGGTGCCCATATAGGGTCTTAGCAATGCAAGGAGAGGACTTTAGCCACCAGGCTACCATGCCGGGCCCTTCTTCTTCTTTTTATTTTAAATTATAATTTTTATTTCAAGGTCAGATATACAGAGAGGAGGAGAGACAGAGAGGAAGATCTTCTGTCTGATGATTCATCCCCAAGTGACAGCAATGGCCTGTGCTGCGCCGATCCAAAGCCAGTAGCCAGGAACCTCTTCCAGGATTTCAAGGTATTGGGCCATCCTTGACTGCTTTCCCAGGCCACAAGCAGTGAACTGGATTGGAAATGGATTAGAACCATTGCCGGGATTAGAACCAGCGCCCATATGGGATCCTCACACATTCAAGGCGAGGACTTTTAGCCGCTAGGCCACCGCACTGGGCCTCTCCCTTTTTTTTTTAAATCTTCCAATCTCAGTTGTATGCTGTTATGTTTCTTTTGTTGGTCCTCAGCTCCTTACCTGGCTACACCCTTGCTGTTGTTTATCAACTGTTTTTTTCATCAATTAAGTTTTTATTCTTAGGAGATCCTGGCCTTACTCCCACTACTTTAAAAAAAAAGTCTTTTTTTGAAGAATTCTTTCTCCAGTTCTTCTGTTGGGTTATACCCATTAGCCGGTTGTTATTCAGACCTTGTGGGAAAGATAAAAAATAAAACATAAGTGCATAACTTCTTCAGAGGCCATCCACTCCTCCTTCTGCCTCTTACCACCAGTAACCAACACATCAGCTTTTAAAAATACATTTCGACTTTCAAGGCAAGCGGTATGAGGTGATGAGCTGGGTGCCGATAGTACCTGCGTGCCATGTCAGAGCACTGCAAGTCATGGCGCTCTGCTGCTAATCCAGCCTCTTTACACCATACCTGGCAAGGCAGTGCAAGATGGTCAGAGTCCCTGAATCCCTGCCGCTTGTGTGGGAGAGCCAGCTGGAGTTTCTGGCTCCTTGTGTCAGCCTGGCCCAAACATGCCTATTGCCGGCATCTGGGGAATCAACGAATAAAAGATCTTTTTCACTTTCTATCTTCTTTGTGTGCATTTTTAGTTGGCATATAGTAGTTGTACATGTTTATAGGGTCCAGTGTGCCATTTCTGAAAACAATGCAGTGCCAACACCTGATTTTATTGTATGTTAAAAGTTCATTTATCTGAACACACCTGAGGGGAAAAAGCAGGGAGAGAGAACAAAGAGAGAGATCTTCCATCCACTGCTTCACTCTTTGCGTGATTGTCACATCTAGGTCTGGGCCCACACTGAAGCCACCCCGGTGTGCCACACGGGCGACAGTGACCCAAGCACCTCAGCCGTTGCTGCTGCCTTCTTGAGCACCTTAGCAGGAAGTTGAGTCACAAGTGGAGCAGCTAGGACTCCTACTCATGTTCTGAGGCGGGTTGCCAGCACCCCAAGAGGTGCCTTAGCCTGTGTGTTACAATGCTGGCCCCAACACTACACTTTTAAAGAATGTTTGCTGACACCATACTCACACATATTACAGGAATTCTTTATAGAGCCAGTGTAAAAAGATACCCTCTTCTGGGGCTGGCGCCATGGTATAGTAGGCTGATCTGCCTGTAGTGCCAGCATCCTACATGGACACTGACTCGAGTCCTGAGAGCTCCATTCCCTGCCCGTCTTCCCTGCTAATGACCTGGAAAGGCAGTGGAGGAGGGCCCAAATCCTTAGGCACCTACCTGTGTGGGAGACTCTGAAGAGGCTCCTGGCTTTGGATCAGCTCAGCTCCAGTCATTGTGTTCATTTAGAAAAAGAACCGGAAGACAGATCTTTCTCTCTCCTCTTTGTGACTCTGTCTTTCAAATAAAAGTTAGAAAAAATAATAACTAAAAAAAAAAAATCCTCTGTTTTGATACACTGGTAAAACCAGGTAGTTTCCTTCTCAATGTGAAAGCTACTGCCTGGAGGATCTGGATCACAAACCTTTCTATTATGTTACTCAGAGCGGATGAGAGAGAGGGGTTGCGAGCAAAACCGACAGGATCTGTTATTTCAGGACAATCCAAGCCAGCATGTCTGGCGAGAACCAGCTCACCTAAGATGGTTGTGTTGCTGATAGTATTCTGAGAGTCATTCATCAGCGACTTCACCTCCTTAACCCAAACACCTGTTTCAGGTCAGCCTCTTCCCAGGCGGGGCTTCCGCATGCGTTCCATGTCAGTCAGCCTCAGTGCAAGCTTGGCTGCTCCTTCCAGGGACACGCGGAGTGTATGTCTGAAAACAGAGTGTTCAAGAAGTCTAGGAATATACATGAAAGGATTAAGCTGAGCAATCCTTGTAGGAGAATTTAAACTTTCATGGCCATTTCTGACAAAATTCATTATGTTTCCATTCACGTACTGACTTACGTATTTGACAGAGCGAGAGCTGGTTCAGTTTCCAAATGCCTGCTGATGGGCAGGAGCTGGGGACTGGGAACAGTCCAAATCTGTGTTCCTGGCAGGAACCTAATGCGCTTGAACTTCCCGAGCTTTCCCTGCTACCTCCTCGGATCCGCAGTGGTAGAAACCTGGAGTCGGGCTGGGGCTCTGACGTGGGCCATGAACATCTTTATATGACACTTAGCCAGTCAGTCAACTAGCTGCTCCAACCCATTCATATTCAGCTGTTGAATAAGTTGAAGTAAGTTATAGAAACTTTCATGGAAATTAAACTTGATGTCAATTAGCCTGTGGAAATTTTTGGTTTCTCTTCTTCTGGCTTCCTCTTTTCCATGAAAAAAAATTTTAAAAGAAAGGTTATTTTCTTTGAATTTATTAATATCCTTTTGCCTTATTTATTTTATCTAGGAAGTACCCTGTCATGGTATATTTTATAATTCCCTTTTTTTAAAAAAAAATTGTTGTTTTGTTTTGTTTGTTTGTTTGTTTGTTTTCACATGAAATGTAGGTTTACAGAGAGGAAAGACAAAGAATGATCTTCCAACCAATGGTTCACTCTCCAAATGGCCAACCAGGCCAGAGCCTATCCAGAAGCTTCTTTCAGATCTGCTAAGAAAGGGTGTCAAGGCTTTGGGCCATCCTCTGCTGCTTTCTCAGGCCATAAACAGGGAGCTGGATGGGAAGTGGAGCAGCTGGGACACAATGCAGCACCCGCATGGGATGTCGGCACTTGAAAGTGGATGGTTAGCCTGTTGAGCTGTGGCACCAACTCCGATCTTATAATTTCAGGAAGAAATGTGAACTGATTGGATCTTTGGAAAGAATGCATGAGTAAAATTCAGGATATGAGAAATGAGATTGCTGTTTTGTAACGTCAGTGGCCAGGTGGTTTATTAAACTCACGGGATATCCTGCTCTCGGAAGTCAAGCGCCTAGGTGAGACAGTAGGCTTTTGGAAAGGCCCCAACATGAGATCCCTCTCCAAGTGCATCTGTTTGATTTTATCATTACTTTGTCTTTGTGGAATCCATACGCACTGTAATCATCACATGTACACCTTCAAAATAGTAGTAGAAACTTGCATTTGTGTGAAAGCATGAATTTGTAAAGAATTTCACTACCTGATAGAGAAATTTAAAAACATGGATTAGGTTATAGAGGAAAGATAGGTTTCTCCCCTCCCCTTCATTTAAAGAATAATTATTTTGGACCCAGTGCACTAACCTAAGTCCTCACCTCACATGCCCAGGATCCCATATAGGCACCAGTTCATATCTTGGCTGCTCCATTTCCAATCCAGCTTCCTGATTGTGCCCTGGGAAAGCAGTAAAAGACAACCCAGTGCCTTAGGACCCTGCACCCACGTGGGAGACCTGGAAGAAGCTCCTGGCTTTGGATCAGTTCAGCTCTGGCCATTGCTACCACTTGAGGAGTGAATCAGCAAATAGGAGATCTTTTTCTCTACATTTCCTTCTCTCTGTAAATCTCTCTTTCCAATAAAAATAAACAAAATCTTTATCTTTAAAAAATAAATGAAGGCCCAGTGCAGTGGCCTAGCAACTAAAGCCCTCGCCTTGAACGCACCAAGATCCCATATGGGCACCAGTTTATGACTTTGAGTCCCCACTTTCCATCCAGCTCTCTGCCTGTGGCCTGGGAAAGCAGTCAAGGACGGCCCAAAGCCTTGGGACCCTGCACCCAAGTGAGAGACCCGGAAGAGCTCCTGGTTCCTGGCTTTGGATCAGCTCAGCTCTGGCTGTTGTAGTCACTTAGGGAGTGAATCATCAGATGGAGGATATTTCTCTCTGTCTCTCCTCCTCTATATATATCTGACTTTGCAATAAAAATAAATCAGTCTTTAAAAAATAAATGAAGTATAATTATTTTTGCAAGTGTATTCTCAGAGTACCTATAGAGGCTTAAATTATGTTTCAGCTAGAACAGAGAAACCTGACTGATTAGTGCTTTTGTGTGTGTGTGTGTGGTTTTATCATTTACTTTTAGGTACCAAAGGAAGAAATAAAGGAGAGTTTACAAATCTCCAAGGGGTAGCTGCATCCACCAGCGGAAAGGTACTAATTGCAGACAGCAACAACCAATGCGTACAGGTATGGAGCCTAGTTTTATACTTCTATTTATAGAGTGGATATAGGTTCATATTCTCCTACTTTAAAGTTAAGATAAGCAGTGCCCACAGGGTGTGGGGAGGGAGGTTTATAACATACGTGTGTGGATTGTTCTTTTATCAAGTATGCACATTCTGACCTGTAGTGCATGCGACAGATGTTCCCATGGCTTTCCCAGTCTCCCAGTGTTACTTTGCACTCCAGCTAGGATTTGTGATTCGTTTTACAGATATTCTCCAACGACGGCCAGTTCAAAAGTCGCTTTGGCATCCGAGGTCGCTCTCCTGGGCAGCTACAGCGGCCCACGGGGGTCGCCGTGCATCCCAGCGGGGACATCATCATTGCTGACTATGATAATAAGTGGGTTAGCATTTTCTCCTCAGATGGCAAGTTCAAGGTAAGACTGACTACCGGCTGGCCATTCAGCAGCAGAGAGAACGAACAGAAAACAGTAGAAGTATCTCTTGCTTCTCTGAGTTCCAGTTTCTATGTTCAACCATTCTTCATGCCCAAAGGCGTGAAGCTTCATGAGTGAGAGTCACAATGACAATGTTATAGATCCACTCTTATGTGTTTCTGCAACGTGACTTCCTTTGGTAAAGTGATGAGATTGCTCAGTCACTTTCTTTAACCACAGATTTGGAGGAACTTCCTGTAACACCACTGAGTAACAGCACCCTTTAGGAGAGGGTTGAGGCAATTTATATGTCTCCAATTCACCTGCTTTGTCCCTTGTGAAGTATCTTGATTTTTTAAAAAAAAGATTTATTTTATTTTACTGGACAATCAGATACACAGAGAGGAGGAGAGACAGAGAAGAATATCTTCCATCCGTTGGTTCACTCCCCAAGTGGCCACACAGCCAGAGCTGAACTGATCCCAAGCCAGGAGCTCGGAGCCTCCTCTGGATCTCCCACACATGGGTACAGGGTCCCAAGGCTTTGCGCTGTCCCTGACTGCTTTCCCAGGCCACAAGCAGGGAACTGGATGAGAAGTGAAGCAGCTGGGATTAGAACTGGCACCCATATGGGATCTTGGGCGTACAAGATAAAGACTTTAGCCACTGGGCTACAGCACTGAGACCCCCTTGCCTTTTTTTTTTTTAAGTCTGAGGCAGATGACATAGAAGAAATAGAATTGCTAAGGCGTGGTCCCTGCCTTTTAAAAATGTACAAACTCATGTAGGGGAAAAGAATAACACACAACAAAGGACACCCAACAACTGCCGTCACCATCTAAGTAGGTGGTGTGGTACAATCTAAATCCACAGTAATCGAGCAAGGGATACAGGATTGGGAAGAAGAAAGCAGGAATGGAGGGGAAGAGAGTGCATCGTACAGGACTGGGAACGAGAAAGTGGGGATAGAGAAAAAGGCAAGAAGAGCTTACGCCAAGGGCACATGTTGTCGGGCGTGTTTGCTGTTTCTGCCCACCAGCAACTTCGTGGGAATGTGACAACAGCTTCCGTGTCTTCAGTCAGTCGCAGGAACAGGGAGCCTTAAGGCGGTATCAGAAATCTGCCTTCTAGTGCAGCATCAAAAATTGCATCCCTAATGCCATTTTCCATGTTTGTCCTAACAAGAGTGTAAGAGACATCCTCAGAGAGCTTTCTGAAAGCCGTCTGCGCTGTTCCATATCCCCCTCTCTAGCACAATGGTGGCCTCTGTTTCACTTGACAACATGAACTTTAACTCAGGTCAACCCACTGGAATCCCAGCTCTGTCTGTGGTTTATTCAGTGTTTGGGTCTTGGCAAATTACGTAACTTTCATCAACCACAGGAGCTTCATGGTTAAAACTGATGTTTAGAAACCTCCGCCTCCTAGAATTCCACTAAAGGCTAAATGAGATTTTATTTCATGATGTTATGTGTCTCATTCAAGATAGGCGTCTAAGAAAGATTCCTTCCCATGCCTCTAGCAACCCTCTGCTCAACAGGAAAGCTGTGGCTTGGGCCGCATGAGCCCGTGCAGGCACCTGCTATTCCAGAGGTGCTGCTTTTGGAATTCATGTGGGAATCCCAGTGATGACACACGTTCTCTCTGGAGTCTCTTCTTGGAGGGATGTATATTTTGCTTTCTAACATCTTTTACTGACTTGTTGCTTTTATCGAATGATTTATTTCCATAATTGCTAACCCTCAAATTGGAGACACTAACTGGCATGGGGTGGCATGTTTTCAATTGAGAAGAATAAAGAGCTGTCATTTTGTTTTGTTAAAGATTTATTTATTTTTATTGGAAAGGCAGATATACAGAGAGGAGGAGAGACAGAGAGGAAGATCTTCCATCCAATGATTCACTCCCCAAGTGACTGCAACGGCTGGTGCTGCACCGATCCGAAGCCGGGAACCAGGAACCTCTTCCGGGTCTCCCACATGGGTGCAGGGTCCCAAGGCTTTGGGCCATCCTCGACTGCTTTCCCAGGCCACAAACAGGGAGCTGGATGGGAAGTGGAGCTGCCGGGATTAGAACCGGCGCCCATATGGGATTTGGTGCGTTCAAGGCGAGGACTTTAGCCGCCAAGCCACCCGCCGGGCCTAAGACCTGTCATTTTGAATTCCATAATCTTAAACACAATTCTTCAATCACCTTTGAAGTTTTTATTACACTAGAAATGTGATAGCTTCTTGAGATGACCACATACACTGAGAAATCTCTTACTCTTCTGTGTCTCAAACGTCCTTTTGCTTTCTTTTGGTTTTCATCATTACATCAGTGGTAAGACATACCCAAATAGGACACCTTTAGTATGAAGGCGGTTCAAGTGATTAAAGTATTTGTCTGGTTTACAGTCAACCAGTTTATTTTTTGTTTCATACTCACATGCCCACAATCCGTCTGTAGATTCAGGAGCTGATACTAAAACAGGTCTCACATTGTAGAGACAGGTGTTTTATAGCTCCTTCCATTAAGTATTTTTCATCCAGTGATTCACTAGTCTGCCAGTATTAGGTTCCTGGGAAGAACTGGAGTCAAGCCGCAGAGTGCTGTGGCTCATGGCGGGCGTTCCCACAAAGGACCCTCAGTCCCAGAGAACGGGCAAGTGGGCTTGGTGTAGGTTCAGCAGTACCCCTTGTTATGAAAAGTGCTGATCAAAACCCAAAAGGTAGAAGGACTGTGCATGGAAATGCTTGAGATCAGTAACTAAATACCAAGAGATGCTTGTTTTTTTCTGTGGCATCACTTTGTAAAACCAAAATTGTTGGGGGGGAGGGTTGTGGGAGGGGTGGGAGGAATCCAGTGCCTATAAAACTGACATAATACAATGTTATTAACAACAACAACAACAACAAAAACATGTGCTGGGAAAGATATGCACAGATGATCTGTGTGTGTTTGTTCCAAATAGTTGCAGAGATGGAACATCTTACCCCTTTCCCTTCCTATTTTTTTTTTTTAAAGATTTATTGTGTGGAAGCCAGAGTCACAGAGGAGAAGGGAGAGACAGAGAGAGATTTTCCATCTACTAGTTCATTCCCCAGATGGCCACAATGGCCGAGACTGGATCAGGTGGAGCCAGGAGCCAGGGGCTTCCTCCAGATCACCCAAGTGGGTTGCAGGGACACAAAGACTTGGGCCATTTTCCTGCTTTTCCCAGGCCATTAGCAGGGAGCTGGATCAGAAGTAGGGCAACCAGTGCACAAACCTGTGCCATGATGGGATCCCAGCATGACAAGGAGCGGCTATAGCCACTATGCCACACTTACCCTCCTCCTTTTACTCACCAGTTCTTAGCCTAAGTTTTCACTCCTCCCTCCTGATTTATGTCTTCTAGCTCATCCCAAGCCTTTGTGATCAGAACAAGAGATCAAGCAGCCCCTTTTTTTCTTAATTTATTTTGTTTTGTTTTTGTTTTATGACACCATTTAATAGGCAATGGGGGTCTCCATCCTCCCTCCCTCCTCACTGTTCTCCCCTCCAGTCTTTTTTTTTTTAATGTCCTCCTTAGATTTTTACTGTTACCTATGTTCAGTTTTAAACAAGAATTTTAACAATTCATTGTCATTGTGTCTTGTTCATTTTCCTCTGAACGGTTTTGCTGAGTATCTGGCGTCCATCCCCAGATTTATATTCCGTGTTATGGTGGCGTCCATCTTGGCCGTGCTTGGGTGACTCCATTCATTGTATTGTTAGAGAGTGGGAAACATACATGCCTCTAATCTCTCAGTGTTTATTGAGTGACTATTTCGGGGTTGGCCTTAAGTTCTGGGCGCACTGCAAGTAACAACCAACAATCCCTACCCTTGTGGCGCCTACGTGGGGGGGGATGTCTCCCCTCCAGTCTCACAATGGGTGTCTTTCGTGAATTTTCACAAGCCCACCATGCTGCCACTCAGGTGTCTGCCAGCAATGTGGGGGATTATTAGCCATATCGCTGTGAGTCCATCCTTGGCATGTGTGTATGAGGACATACTTCCCCCTGCTTCCACGTATGAACATATTAATTTCTGCTGCATTTCCATTATGCATCCTCTTGAGTACAGTCTACCATGGGGGGGGCGGCTGGAAATAAAAGAAAAAAAATAGTAAACCTTCATCCACATGAAGTTGACGAACATAGAACAAAGAAATCAATGTGACACTAGGATGGTGAAAAAGTGTGTCCAGCATCTCCACGTAGGAATAAATGCAGCGTGTGTCCCATGTGCCACTGAGGAGAGTACAGGAAGGACCAGATCTTTGTTACAGGCAGTAGCAATAACAGTGATAAAAGGGACATTGACAATCTCAGGTGATTATAAGCAGTCAGTCTCTATGGATGATTGATTAATGGATTACATCACGTGGTCTTATTACCAAGGTACAAATAATTAGAAAATGCAATAAGGCAGAAATCACAGGAAAACCCTTAGATTTGACATCATATTATCTTATAAAATTTATTTTTTAGAGATTTATTTATCTTTATTGGAAATGCAGATATACAGAGAGAAGTAGAGAGAGAGAAAGATCTGTCCACTAGTTCACTTCTCAAGAGGCTGCAGCAGCCAGAGCTAAGCTGATTCAAAGCCAGGAGCTTCTGGATATCCCATGCTTTGAGCCGTCCTTGACTGCTTTCCCAGGCCACAAGCAGAGAGCTGGATGGGAAGTGGAGCAGCCAGGACACGAACTGGTGCCCACATTGGATCCAGGCATGTGCGAGGCGAGGACTTTAGCCACTAGACCCTAAAATGTTTAAATTTTAATATTTAACGTATGAGATGCAATTTTTAAGAACACAATGACATTTTCCTCCTCCTTCCCTTTCCTCCTCCTAGCTCCCATCTTCTCCCCAGATCTTTTTTCCCTACTGTTTGGGATAACATACTCTAGACCTACACTGTAATAAAAGGTTTACTAGTTCACCCAATAAGTTTGACAAGTAAAAAGCAAACAGACCTCTTCAGTGGGAACAGAGACAACAGCTAAAAACAACTGAACAGGAAAGAACAATGACCATCACACCATATACCGTAAGCGTCAACATGATCACGGAATAGAAAAGCCATCGTAGTATGACATTCTTAACCATTGGTGTGACAAAGGTGTAAAGTCAAGGCTTGCAAAACTGTTTGCAGTGGTATTGAACACACGGACTTTTTGTTTGTTTATTTTTAAAAATTTACCTCCCATGTAGAAGGGAAAGCATGATATATTTGTCTGTTTGGTTCTGGCTTTTTTTTTTGTCTGTTTTCTGTGTGTGTGTGTGTGTGTGTGTGTGTGTGTGTGTGTGTGTGTGTTTTAGTCTTGCTTTTTTTTTTTTTTATTGATCTGGCTTTTTTCACTTGATATGATGCCCTCTGGTTGAATCCATTTTGCTGTAAACAGTAGCACTTCAATCTTTTTTATACCAACGCTCTGGCTGTTGACCCTTCCCAAGCCAGAGTCTAGAACTTTTTGTATCCTTGACTATTTTGTGATGGGAGACAGAGTCAGGCCCAGTGCTGAGTCTCCCTTAGTAGAACCCACTGCGGGGTGATGGAGATAGAAGGAAGTTTTGGTTCAACGTAGATCTGTCCCAGTTGTCACTGCCTCACCGTGTTCTCACCATGTGTGAGAACAAAAGTCATCCTTTGCTTTTGTTTTATTCTGTGTAATTAGCCGTTGGGTGTGTGTGAGTCATTCTGAGTCAGAGCCGGTGTTCCGGCTGTTGGGTAGCAGTCACCTGCTCGTTTCAATGCTCTGGGTGCTGACGTAGCTTTGATTCAGACCAGGAGGCATGTTGCCCTTTCTTTACGTGCCTCTGTTGCGGCCTCTCTCACCTCTGCGATGCGGATGGGATTCCTCTGCCAGGGAAGTTGTCCTTTCCTTCACGATTAGGTCCCTTTGTTCGCTCAAGATCAGATCGAAATCCCAGTCACTGATGTATGTACGGGAGTACAGGGCGACACAGAGTTATTTTCTCCCCACCATAGGAAAGCCCTCCTTCCTGTGCCAGGGAATTTAAAAACATCTCACATTGTGGCTCCCATTATGGTTTTTTCTTTTTTAAAGATTTGTTTTATTTTAATTACAAAGACAGATATAAAGAGAGGAGGAGAGATAGAGAGGAAGTGGAGCTGCCGGGATTAGAACCAGCGACCATATGGGATCCCGGTGCATTCAAGGCAAGGCCCTTAGCCACTAGGCCACGCAGCCAGGCCCTCCTGTTATGTTTTTATCAGTGCTCATATGGAGGGAAAATAAAAAGAACAAAGAAGAACCTATAAGAATATAGCTTTTGACAGTGTTACGCTCTAGCACATGGACACTGCTCTCCTTCCATCCGCTCAGTGGCCCCCCTCATTATCCGTGGGGATTGGTTTCCAACCCCATATAGATATCAAAACCCACTCATCATCCTGATGGTCCTATAATGCTGGGCCATTTTTATTAATATGTTCAGCAAACACTGTTTGAGTACTTATGGACCCAGGAATGTGGTATGCTGTGAGTACACAGTGGTGGACGTGACTGCCTCTCGTGTGAAACTTGATTCCAGTCAGGGCCAATGACAGATGCCTGGATAAATGACAGTGCCAAAGATGGCCTCGCTTGGATGACTGTTGGCTGTCATTCCTTTTAGTAACTTAACAATATTTTGCTTATTATGTATTTAAAAATACCACTGGGAATTATGTGTGTCAGGGTTTGTTTTTTTTGGGGGGGGTTGCATTTTTAAATACTGTTGATAAGGAATCTGGAGTTTTGGAAAATTAAAATTATTTGCACTATATCAGGTATACACAAAACAAGTGACAGTAATGGGATGATCTCCTGATGAATGATTTTACCCTACAATGCTGCCTCTTTGGGAGCACGCTGTGAGCCCGGTTTGGAGAGGTTCTGGACTGTCTTTGTGGTGAGCCCAAGAACCTCCTATGATTGTCAGTAGTGGGCAGTGCGCATGTCAAAGGCAGCTTTCCAGGACGGAAGATCACCGTGGTAGAAGAGCAGCTGTGCACCTGCTTTGAAGTGTCAACTGAGATGTCTGTCTCTGTGCTCTTCAACTTTGTCATTTGTGCCTAATTTCTGCTCTTGTTCCTAACAGACAAAAATTGGATCAGGAAAACTGATGGGGCCCAAAGGAGTTTCCGTGGACCGCAACGGGCACATTATTGTGGTGGACAACAAGGCGTGCTGCGTGTTTATCTTCCAGCCAAACGGGAAAATAGTCACCAGGTTTGGTAGCCGAGGAAATGGGGACAGGCAGTTTGCAGGTACACTTGATGGTAATATGTAAAACCCCTTTTCTCCACTTCTTCTGCTCACATTTGCATGACGTTGGAGCATGTTGAGGACACACCGCATCCCCAGTGTGTTTGCTGGCAATGGGAAAGACACTGGAGGTGAAAGGCTGAGCCCCAGCCCTTCTGCGGGCCGTCAGCCAAGCGGCGGGTACCACCGCCTTTGGTGACAGTGGGAAACACAGAAATCTAATCTTCCACTGTTCCTGTTAAATACAATGGAAATTTTTCCAATGAAATAACTTTGAAAGATTTGAGGAACAATTGGATAACTCCTGTTTCCATTAAGCTGTAGCTTTATTTAAAGACCTTCTGAATGAGAAGTTTTGCCAACGTTCTAGGTTGTTCTAAAAGAACTGGGGACCCAGAACACGTGCTGGGTGCAGGAAGGGTGGTATTTTCGCTGCCATGCTCTGCGGTGACCAGTTGACCTAGATTTCTATGTCTGAGGAAGTGGCTTTGGAAACGGCTGAGTTTTTCCAAAGGGCTGTCTTGGGCATGGAGCAGCAGCTTGCATCATTTTTCTCTGCGCTTGGTCTCCAGTTCTGCCAGGTCCTGAATGTCACACAAAATCATAAAGCGGGTTTTCTGCTCAAAGTTTTTTTTTTGTTGTTGTTGTTTGGTTTGTTTGTTAATTACACATTGGACTCTCTGCTGCTAAGAGTTTGCAGGTCTTCCCCCCTGGGGGGTAAAGGCCCTCGAGGACTGATGGTCATTCAGGGAAGCCAGCAGCTGTGACTTTCAGATGGTGGCGTGGAGAAGGCATTCGGATGCTTCCTGCTCATCGCACTTTCTTTGGGCTGCTGGGGCCATTAGCTGGATGTAGAGAAAGTCCGTAGAGAATCACAGACATGGGATACTAGAAGGGCAGCAGTCTGGAGCCAGTATGCCCTACCAAGGGCCTCACTGATTCTGCGTGCTTTTAAAAAACTAAATAATGTGTTAAGTGTGTATTTCTTGTTTCAGTCACTGCGGTGTCGATCTGCTCATCACCTATTGTTTTCGGTATCTTTATTGCAGGTCCCCATTTTGCAGCGGTAAATAGCAATAATGAGATTATTGTTACAGATTTCCATAATCATTCCGTCAAGGTACATAAGAATATCACTGTTTTTGAACTGTTCACTGCTTTTTTTTTTTTTTAAGATTTATTGTTATAGGAAATGTAGATTTACAGAGAGAAAGAGAGACAGAAAGATCTTCCATCTGCTGATTCACTCCCCAAGTGACCGCAATGGCTGGAATTGAGCCCTCCGAAGCCAGGAACCAAGAGCATCTTCCAGGTCTCCCACGTGGATGCAGGGTCCCAAGGCTTTGGGCCGTCCTCGACTGCTTTCCCAGGCCACAAGCAGGGAGCTGGATGGGAAGTGGAATATCTGGGATATGAGCCAGTGCCCATAGGGGATCTCAACACAAGCAAGGCGAGGATTTTAGCCACTAGGCCACTGCACTGGGCCCTGTTGACTTCTTTTATGGAGAAATCAATCTGAGAAAAAATAATATGAATACTAATGCACAGAAAAACAGAGAGAATTCACCTAAACAGGATAAACTTTGCTTCCACTTACAGGTGCAAGTTTTAATTTGGAGAGCCAGGGATTTGGACAAATTATGGTGGCAGCAATTGGTATAAATTAAGATGACTCGGAGTTAGACTTAGAGGTAGGAGCTAACATTTTATAATTACTGAAGAAGCAGGGCTGTCAAGACAAAGTTGGTTACATGTCCGAACTCTGCCACAGTGACACATTTGGGGTGAGAAAACAAGCCAGCGTACATTTTTGTAGTCTAATTCACACTTTTCTGTCACACATTTGCTGCAATTTATAAAGTAACTACCGATAGTATAGTATGTCTTTCTTACTAGGTACAGAAGGAACAAGATTTAAAACTTATAAAATTTAGGAAAATTAGTAAGTGAAAGGAAATTTCCCATTTACTGAACTGACGAGAAAATATTCAGTGATATTCTAGGACTGTCTTCTCAAAGTGTGATGTGTGTTCTGCCACGGCTGTGCCAGGTGGCAGGTGTTTTTCTTGTAAGAGCCCTGTGTTAATTTCTAGGGTTCTTTTCTGTTTCCATCAAATAATACTCAGAAAAATGATATAATCTTCCCTATAAGTAACTTCATTTAAAATTTCAAAAGATGAGCCATTTAAAGGAAAAAATAGTAAAAGAAAAGCATAGAGTGCTTTAGCAATGACTAAAGGTCGTACTTCGAGATAATTTGCGATACCCAACCTTATGTAATGGTTCAGTGTTTAAGTGGATGGCTGCATAAGGCGTAGGCAGAGAAAGAGGGAGAGAGCGCCACCTGCTGGTTCCCTCCTCAAATGCCCTCAGTGGCCAGGGCTGAGCAAGGCTGAAGCGGAAGCCAGGGACTCCACTACTTGACCCAGCACCTGTGTCTCCCAGGGCAGACCTTAGGAGGAGGCTGGGATGAGAGTATAACCAAGACTCAAACCTAAGCTCTCTGAAATGCTAACATTTCCTATCCTCCTTCCCTCACTTGATGGAGAAAACACCCTACAATAAGAAAATCCATCTAGATCTTGGCCATGCAAAGCCCAGCCGTTGCCTAGCATCAGCAGCCCCCGCCCCCCCGCCCCATTGGAAGGGGAAGGCATTCGCAGCTTGGCCTGTTGTGACAAAGCACAGCTGTGGCCTCCAGCCTTTGCTCTGCAGGGCTCCGGGCATCCTCTGTGAACCAGCTGGCGTAGAATGTGGGACAGCTCCTGTTTACAGCCCTGGCTTGACACTGCTCAAAGACAGAAAACACACAGAAGCAATAGCAATGCAGGCTTTAGGCAGAAGGCAGATAGCAATGCAGGCTTTTGGGAAAGCAGGAACTTAGAAAATTCTCTATGTTTCCAGAAGAAAAGAGATTTTCATCATCAGGATTACCAGCTGGAGGTGGTAGTAGACATGAACAAGTTTGAACAAGCAAGAGTGTGAAACCTGTCATCCAGATATCAGAAAAAGAAAACTTTCTATAAATACTTACAGAGCGCAGAGCTATGAGCACGCTTTGAATTCACACTTTGGCCTCTTGATTATTTTCATCTGAGTACTTTATAAGTTATCCAGTGACACTTTAGAGGAGAAACTAGACTATGAGAAATGGACAATTTATTAGATTCTAAGATCTCATTTTCAGTCCAAAAAGAGGTAGATTATTTTAGATACTTACTTAAATGCTGTTTGCCTCAATACAGCCGTAGCCTTCCTTTTCTCTTTGACAGCTCTTGCCATGTAACTTTTATGAAAAACTTGCACTTCATCTCTGATACAATAGCCATTAGCAGTAGTTCTGGACTCGAAGCAATTTTCTGTTGGGAGATGTAAAACAAAATAAAACAAAAAAACGCTGTAGTTCCCTCTTTAGCGGTCCTCAGCCCAGTGTGCTCCCAGAGCCCCGCAGAGGCCCGAACCCTCAGAGCACCTCAATGTCTGCATTCTGTCTATATGTAAAAAACTATGATAAAGCTTAATTTACAAATCAAACACCAGTAAGGGACTAATCACAATAACAGCGAAATAGAACAATTATAACAATACACTGTGTTAAGTGAAATGCTTATTTCTAGGATTCTCCTCTTCATCTTTTCATGTTACAGTCACAGTTAACAGCAGGAAGCGGAAACACAGGGAAGGGAGACAACTGCATCTGTCTTCTCTTTATGGCAAGGCAAACTAGACAAGCTCTACCCTCCATTATTCCCCAGCGAAGCAGGTGCATTGGAAACTGGATCCTGCCAAGGAAAGCAGTACTAAATAATAAACACAGGCAAACACAGGAAGATTAGCTGCGGGAATTAATAAGGGGAAGAGCAGGGAATAATAGCTTGTGACCTTTCCTACCCACACACACACACATAATCCTATTGGTTTCTAAAACTGAGTATTGTATGTAAACAGAGACTGAAAGAGTGCAGGGGAAAAATGAAACATAACATCTTTCAAAAACGAGTGGTCCTCTTTGTTCTCACTTAAAGAACTAGCAAGGGGCGGATGTTTGACCTTAGGATTAACTTGCTGGTTAAGGTGTCCGAATGCCTGAATTGAGTCCCCAGCTTGGGCTGCGGCCCGCCTGTGAATGCAGACCCTGAGGGGGCCGTGCTGACAGCACAAGTGGAGCCGTGGATGGAAGGTCTCAGCTCCCAGATTAGGGCCTGCTTGTGGGCGGTGGAGGAATGAGCCAGCACATCATTCTGTCTCTCTGGCCTCTTGCGTAAATACATTTCTGAAATGTACATCATCATCATCATCAGAACCAGCAAGCTTCTAAAAGGTCCAGGTTAGATTTTTGCTCACTTGCAGTGCTTTCTCCTAGTTCTACCCTTGAGGAATCCTGACTGTCAAGGTGCCTTGCATAGAATACTTTGTGATATTCTGCTGAATACTTCTAAGCAATTGGGCGTGATGATAATGGGAGTTTAAGATATGTCCTAGAGACACTTCATAACCACTAAATATCCTCTGGATCAGTATATAGTTGGACTTACTATAATATTATCATCAAACATATTAAAAAGTTTAATTCAAAGTAGTGTTTTGTATTTGTTACATGTCCAGCAATTTTTTATAAGAATGCTTACGTAACCACAGATACCCTTTGCTTGACCATTTCAGATATTAAGAGAATTTCCTTGAGAAGTCTGTCTAGCCCTTTGTTTCTCACAGCCTTCCTTCTCGGAGTAGATCTGTTCATCAAATCCCTAGAATCACAGAAAGTGTGTCAATTAACATGTTTACCAGTGGCACATCCAAAAGCCCCTTTTCTTATTACTCCTGCACTGCCATTTCACTTACATGCACAGTGGATTTTCCCTTTTCTAAGTGTGCAGTGAACCTGGTGGAGTGAAATAGCAACAGGTTCTGAGCATCTGCCCGAACTATAAAACTTCTGTGCTTTGATTCAAAGTGAATGCTCATCCATCCTGTTAAAATTAAGTATTTAATTACAAGCAAAAAGAATAACAGTTGAAAATTATAGCTGTACCCACTCATACCATCTTACGTTTGTATTGTACTTCATAATAGAAATAGTTTTCATGTTAAGTAATAATTAGATATAAACCAAAAAGGGGGTGATGTAACAAATGGTAAACGAGGTTTATGTAGTAAATTAGGAACACGAGTGAAATGGGATCTAGTTGGTAGACTTTTTTCTTTGTAAGGTCTTAAGTGACAGGTCTTGTTATAAATAAGCTGGTCAGATACTTTTTAAAATCTATAATGTTGGATCCGCTTTTAATTTGAAATCAATTTATTTTTAAATATTTCATGCAGGTGTTTAATCAGGAAGGAGAGTTCATGTTGAAGTTTGGCTCAAATGGAGAAGGCAATGGGCAGTTCAATGCCCCGACAGGCGTAGCAGTGGATTCAAATGGGAACATCATTGTGGCCGACTGGGGAAACAGCAGGATCCAGGTAAGCAAAAATATTAGTATGTATGCTAACATGGTTGATGTTTATTAAAAGTGATGATTTGGCCATGCTGTAGACCAGGAAGTTTTTCACTCTGCATCAGTTAGGTCCTGAGAGCATGGATAATCTCAGCGGAACGGCCAAACAAAGCAGTTAGGTTGGACAGAAGGCGTCCTATTACTAAAGTCAAAGTCTCCGAGCCACAGGTTTTCAACAGGGATCCCTGACTCCCAACCCAAAGGGATTGTGGATATAATTTAATAATGTGTCCATTGGACACAGATATTGTACTGTTACTAACTTCTGATTTTTTTTAAAAAATGGGTTATTTTTATTAGAAAGGCAGATTTAGAAGGAGAGACAGAGATAGATCTTCCACTTGCTGATTCACTCTCCAAGTGGCCGCAGTGGCTATAGCTGAGCTAATCTGAACTTAGGAGCCAGAAACTTCTTCCGGGTCTTTCACGCAGGTGCAGGGTGCCAAGGCTTTGGGCCGTCCTCAACTGCTTTCCCAGCCACAGACAGGAAGCCGGATGGGAAATAGAGCAGCTAGGACATGAACTGGAGCCCATACGGAATACCAGTACTTGAAGGGAGAAGATTAGCCAGTTGATCCATCACACTGAGGCTGTAACTTACAATTTTTACCATTTTCCTTCATTATGGTTGTAACAATTATACTCAACTTAAATAATGCCTGTCACTCTGTCACTATGGGAATATCAACATTTCCACATCAGATTACATGTTATAGACAATGTGAATGATCAATTATGTCATACGTGCTTCAAAATCATAGTAATTACTAGGCCCATCACTAATGTGCTGATTAAAAAGCACACAGTGAAAGCTTGGCCAGGAGAGTTGTCCAACTTGTTCTGCTTTCCATCCTTTGGTGAGGCACTCAGTGTTGTCTGCTGGCTTAGATGAGCTGACTGTCATGTCGCCCTTGTGTGCATCTGTCCACTGCACAGGCATCAGCAACCGAGGAGGCTCAGTCCCGATACATGCACTCCAAGGTTGGACCACATATCTTGTGATTTTCCCCGTGGCTGCAGTTTGAGTCTAGCCATCTAGTTGGGAAACCTCACCTGGAATGATCTGACTTGACTTTGGTGTGAGGCAGAGTGCAGCTGCCTAGTCAGTTCCACCCTAGCCACTCATGTGAACTGATGGGAGCAACATTTTGATGGATATCTACTTCTCAAAAAAGGAGTTGATACTCTCAATGTAACACAGATTGCTCTTAGTTCTCCAGCTTGGCTCAGTTATTCCAATGGGTGTCTTACATTGAGGGAGACATTCTGATCCCGGAAGTAGGTGAGAAGCATGATACACAGGATTCAGCAGGCAGGCAGGGAACTGAGTTTACAAAGCAATGCTGTGTAGGTCAACAGATGGTTAGCTGTTTGCAGTGTGACCCCTGTAACACTGACCTGGTTACACTGCCATTCACACCACCATGCAGTACCCAGATGCACATGGAGGATGTGGCAGTCCATTAGAGCCTGCAGAGGACATCTGGTACCATAGCAGGGGAAGGAAGGCTGAACAGATTGGTCAACTTCTCCAGCCAAGTGTTGGCAGCAAATATCTGGGCAAATGGAGACTCTAAGGTGGACTGTGTCAGCCAGTGGACCTTGCAAGGATTTCCTCATTCTTGGATCAGCAAGATAAGCAGCATTTCAGAACTGTTGAAGAATTGAAAACACTTAAGCACAACTCTCAGAGCATGTTTCACTCCAGGGACCCTGGGATGACATCGGTGGCCATTCCCCACTCCAGGTTACTCAGGTTGTTGGCAGGTTGGGTACAGCTTCTCCCCACTTTCCCCAGATTCAGGAAGAAGAAGAAGAAAAAAAAAAAGAAAGAAAATGTGGAAACAATGGTCTCACCCACATTCCCCTATCCTTAACCCTTCCCACCCAAATCAACTATGTGAACATCATCCTAAATTCATTTTTTAAATTAAATTACTTAAAAAAAATATATCATGCAGCCCACATACAATGGTCAGAAGACCAGGTCATGCTGAGGAGACATGTAAAGATCTGGATTTACTCCTTTTATTTCATCATAGCAGAAACTTACCAGTAGAAGACCTTTCTGAATGTACATGTTGAACCATTGACCTCTTACAGCTTACCCCTTTCTGGAAAGAAAAAAAGTCTCTTAATGTCTCATTGGTATTTATGACTCAGAACTAATCTTTGTGATCCAGTTGCCAAGTTTTTTTCCTTGTAGTTGGATGAAAGATGTGAGACTTAAAAGAGATCAAGACTTAGCAAGGAAGATGATGGCTGTTCCCATCAGACACATTGAAGGCATATGGATGAGATGTGACAGCTAGTGAAAGGACTCGTCATAGAGTTCATGGGAAAATGGGATGAAAAGCTAAGTCTGTTTTGGAACACAAATGTTTAAATCCGTGCAGTTTTTCAGTAACACCTATTTTCCATGAATTTCTTCAAGAACTCTTGTACATACAACAGTGACCTAAGAACCCTTTTGGTGATATGTGAATGCTTTTTAAGTTTTTTTTTTTTAATGGCATCAACCATTTTCTAACTTATGTTTCAGCATATTACTATAACCAGGCTGTATTTTTTTTTGGCAGGTTTTTGATGGGAGTGGATCATTTTTGTCTTACATTAATACATCTGCTGACCCCCTCTATGGCCCCCAAGGCCTGGCCCTGACCTCAGATGGCCATGTTGTGGTTGCAGACTCTGGAAATCACTGTTTCAAGGTCTACCGATACTTACAGTAACCCTGGGCAGCTGAGCACCCCCTGCCAAGGATCTTGCACTACAAACTGGAATGAATTTCTCAACGCGGGACCAGATCAGGACTAGACTTCATGTTAGAGAGAATCGATGGTGAACGTCCCACGGTTATTTCTGAATGTAACAGTTTCTTGAAAACTGCTTATCCAGTTTTCATAATTCACCTTAAGGGTCTGAAAAAGGAAGAAGAAAAACATCTCTTCTACTGAATCTATAAAAACTGTAGTTTTACACCTGTGAACTATGGCTTAGAGAACAGGGATTTTATGTAGTTCAACTGATTTTGCAAATCAAGCAAGCATTAAAAAACAGACTAGAATATGTAAAGAGATTTGTTAATCCTCTGAATGGTAGCTTTTGCACCGAGCTTCCAGAAACAAAACAAGGACAAACTCTGTTGTGGCTATATTCTTTATTGAATCTAAGTCACAAGATCTGGGGAATCTTCTAACCTCACTTTTACAGGAGGTATTACTCGTGTCATGTTTTTTTTTGGTTATCAACAACTCTACATAAATTATTTTAGAAAGAAAATAGAAGTCTTGCAGAAATCCTCCCGGCTGCCATTAGCCGGCCTCTGGAGGTTAGCCCTTGAGGCTCAATGCAAATTTCCCCATCCTTCTGGGTTAGATCAAAGATCTTTTTGATGTGTTCCTTTCACCTTCTTATTCCTGCTCACAGAAAACCAAGTCCATGAACAAGGATACCTGAGATTCCTCACGCTTAGAGAAGCATATTCCAAAAGTAATTCTACCTTTTGACGAAGAGACAGCCCTGGTAGCTCCAGCTTGATGCACTGGAGTGTAGCCACACACACTCATTGTGTGCCATGTCTTCACGTGTCTTTCCTCTCCCACTTCATGAAAAGCGAAAGCTTTACCTCTTGCAAAAACGGTCAGCACATGTAGTAGGACACCAGTATCCTAGGACAGAGAGCCATAGTAGCCCTTTGGAGGACGGATGGTGTCAGCCAAAGGCATGTGATGGATTGGTGAAGGACTTCCCCCTTAGAAAGCAAGTGTTACCAAAGTTGTGTTATCTTGAGAGAGCATTACAGGTAAGGGCATGTTGTGGTTATTTATCATTGTTTAATGAATAGTAGCGGCGTTAAGGGACTATGTATACACGATTAGGGTAAGATAGAATGTACTATACATATAAATATAGCTGAGTCTTTGGTGTATTGAAATAGGCAGCACTCTGAAAGACAGAAGCATCGTCCAGCCATCCTTCGGCACATTCCTTTCCTACTCAGCTGAAAACCTTTCTAGAGCCAGCACTGCAGATTTCATTTTTGCTATTTTCTAAGAATGATGGTGATGGCTGACGTTGAGTCAGAAAATGGTCTTCTGAGCTTTCTAAGAAAAAAAAAACAACAAAAAGAACAGGTGAAAAGAAAAGTTGAACTTGAATAATGTAAGCTAAGTTTAAGTGCATTTTGAGAAACTGAAGAACAATTTAGTCAATGGTTGATCTGTCATCGATACTGTAAGATAAGATGCAGTCTGTTTCCATTGTTTAATTTTCTACTCAGTTTTACCAAAAAGAAAATGTCGTGTTTGGCATTTTTGATGATGTTGGATTGTTTTTCACTGGAAGCACCTTAGAACTGTACTGTAAGAAAACATTTCCCATATGTCTAATCATTTGAATGTGATATTTCATGCTTATAGTTCAGTCATTCTGTATAGAACTTTCAAAAGTTTAGAAGGGAATCTAACTACTTCCAGTTGTCAAATTTAAAATCAACCTTTTGGCAGGACAAGTTTTCTTGGGAAGATTTACATTTAGGTGTGGAGGATTTTTTTTTTTTTTCCTTTGAGTAAGGTAGAGTTTTCAAAAAATATTTGAGCCTGTCTGAGATCAAGCTATCAAATCTAATTACATTTTGAAAACATTAAAGTGAGGCACTGTTTCCTAACCCAGTGAAATGAGCCTTTATACTTAAAACATGTGTACTCTCTGAGTTCCTGCCAGGTTCCAGGCAGTCTTTCAGACACTGGGTGTACGGTGATAAAACAGGCAGAAATGCCTGCCCTTCTGCAGACTACATTCTGGGGAGGGAAATTATTTTTCCATTGACTGACTAACACTTTGCCTGGGAAACAGGCTAGACTGTGGATTGTTCCTAATTTGTTTAAAAGAAAACTAAGTTGTTTAGAATTTTAGTTTATTTTCAGAAATAAAAAAAAAATGGCTTCCTATCTAGATTGTCAGAAGATATTGATCTTAAATTAGTTTACATAAAGAGAGTTTTTGCACAACATTTATATTCTATTTGTGAACTTAGAAATTAACTTATAAAACCCATCCTGTCATATCATCCTGGGCTAGATATTTCACTAGTAGAGTGAACATACTGCTTTTTTTTTTTTTTAACATGTCAATATTGATACAAACTGGAATGAAAGAGGATATCCTTTGCTTTGGACCTGTTCCACTGACCATAGCAAAAACACATGCCATGGACACACCAGGAAACACTGCATTGCCTCCCGCGCTCCAAATATGTCATCGTATGTGTAAATGCGTAGAGCCCATTCCACACTTGGCTGCTTGTGTGCATTTGCTGTGTTTTTCGGTAAGCATTCTGTAGGGGGCAGTGCTGCTGCTGAGACGCACATAGACAGGTTTAAAGGAGATTCTGTCACATGCTATGGAACATTGTTTTTGGGAAACTGAGAAGGATATTAAAATAAGTGGCTTCCCTCCCCGCCCCAGACTACCATTACTGTTTGCGTTCGCTTTGTCCAGTAATTCATAATTCATGATGAAGTAGCTCTGAAGAATGCTCACGCAGACTCCCCAGGCACTCACGGCACAGTATGGCCAGACAGGGTGGAAAGGTAGGTGACGATGCCTTGGCCCTCCTGGGACAGCCCCCTTGCTGGAGGTTTGGCATGCAAACCTGTGACTATTGGCCATTTTTAACAAATGGTACCTAGTCATGTTGACAAAACCTTAGTCCCTAGAACTAAGCCGGTCCCCAAGTTTCCTTATTTCACTTTGACTAGATTTGAGGCAATTACATAATCCAGATCCATGCACCTAGACCCCGCTTGCTTCCACTACGAACTATACAGGGTATGTACAAACATGGAGTTAACTGGAACAGTAGTGCCGCAGCAAGTGGGTCGCTGGATTCCCGACCCTGAAGGGTTAACAGATGCTTGGGTGGCACCAAAGCAACTGGAGGAAATGGCAATTAGATAACCTTCAATAACTTCAATGGGAAAAAAAAATATTTTTCTAACTGGGACTTGATAAAAGATTCCTCTCTAAGTAACACTTCTGAGAAGGGAGGAGTGTTTCTAGTTTAATAACTTTAAGACCATTTCCCAGTTGTAGAAAACTGAAGCTATTTGAAGCAAACATCTAGTTTTACATAAAACTGAAAATGGTAACGCTTGTTGCTTTCTGTAAATGTTGCAGGGTTTTAAACTTTACAATTATTTGAATATTTTTGATAACTAGGAACCTAGTATTGCCATAAAGGAAACTAAGTGCCCATTAAAGATTTGTCTAGTATAAAGAAGTACCTTGGGGTTTTTTTTTTTTTTCTTTGTTCTAAATGACAGTAAGCTACAAATCATGACGTTAATCTTAAAAAAAAATTTCTAAAGATGAGTTGTGTGGCAGTGGCTGTGTGGCTGTGGCGAGTGTATGAAAGCTATTACTGTCCTAGACTAGACTAACAAGTTGGCTCTGTTGTTCCGATGAATGTCCAGCTCTTCCATTGACTTCAGAAAGCAACAGCCTTAAGCGAATGCTTTTGCTTTGTGACAGCAGAATGTCCTGTCGTCACCAGCGTGTGTTCCTGTCACGGCATTCAGATTTCATGTTCAGTTCTGTCGCCTTCCGATCCTCTGTCTTAATATGCTTCCCACCCCCCGCCAGCTTCGCTTTTTCCTTCTTAGATTTTGCACATTCCATCTTTATTGATCTGTTTTGTACATTTTGTGTCAAGAACACTACGTCTTGCGCTCTCCGCCATTGCGACTGATGTATTCTCATTATTTGTTCTTTTTTGAATCAAAATGCTGACTGCCTATTTAAAGAATGAACGCTGTGCATCAAAGTGTGTGTTTGTTCGTAGCTACATACGTACTGCGGTAATTTGGATGCTTTAGTCTACAATAAAACTTTAAATTAATTCTGTCTTGAAACATAGGAGAAACAAGATTCATGTGTAAATCTTTACCATGCACAAGCTCTCGAATCATTACAATAAAGCTTGTTTTCTCCATTTCTAAGGTGAATGTATGTTTATTTAACTGTTCTCCAAGTAAAGGGAAAGGAAGAATGTTCCAGAACCTTTGGGGTATAGCAGTGTCTCAACCAGACTGTGTATATCAGTTTGAAAACTAGTCAAGTTTTTGTTAATCATTTAGGAAGTAATTTTTTGAGATTTATTTTTCGGAATCACACGGTGATGGGAAGAGAACATGCATCCACTGGTTCACTCTCCACAGAACATAACATTGGGCCAGGGCTGAGCAAAGGCTCAGCCAGAAACCTGGACCCCCATCCGGGTCTCACACACCCGTGGCAGGGGCCCACGCACATGGGCCTTCTCTCACTGCTTTCCCAGATGCAGAGAGCTGGATGAGCCCTGGAGCAGCAAGGATTACAGCAGCGTTCCCGGGAGGTTCTGGTACCCAGGGGGCAGCTTTCACCGTGGGCCACACTCAACACATCTGAATGATCCCTCGGAATTTTACTGTTGCCAATGCTGATAGGAAAGTGCCGCTGCACACAGCGATAGGCTTAGTGAAGAAAAAATACCTTCCAGGTTTTATTTGCAACTGAAAATGTGCTTACTCATCTTTAAGCTGTAAAATGATGCTCTTGGCTACCTGATACGTTGTTTTTGTTTTTGTTTTTTTTCCGAATCTGAGAAGCAGAGACACAGAGAGACAGCAGGAGAGAGATGCGCCCCCATTCACCGGGTCACCCCCATTTTGCCCACAATGTCTAGGACGAGGCCAGGGTGAAGTCGGGAGGTGGGAACACAATGGGGTCCCAGTTACTGGGGCCTCTCACGGCCACCTCCCCAGCACCTGCACTGGGTCAGACGCTGGGACCAGGAGCCAGAGCCCAGCGTCCAGCTCAGGCACTCACTGAGGGACACCGGCATCTTAACCTCGAGACCCAAAACCATCCCCTGCGGCTTTCATTCAGTCCTTGCCAGGAACGGGGCGGTCGGCCTAGTCTGTGCCTCACAGACGGATCGGATAATGGGGGCAAGATACTTATAAAACGCACACAAAGGGCTGTGATCAACCACGGAAGGAGCCTGCCAGCTGCGAGGTGCCAACAGGACGGCACCGAGTAATTTCTGGAGGTTCTGTGTCAATGGTCCAAAGGATGGATCAACAGGTTGCTGATGTCAAGATGCCAGCAGCAGACAGGGCGATGGGCACATGGCACGACTTTGGCCTGTCTGGACTGTTGCATCAGAAATCCAGACTAAAAGGCACTTCTTATTTATTGGGCCCAACGCAGTAGCCTAATGGCTAAATCCTCTCCTTGCATGCACCGGGATCCCATATGGGTGCCAGTTTGCGTCCTAGCTGTTCTACTTCCTATCCTGCTCCCCGTTTGTGGCCTGGGAAAGCAATCGAGGAAGGCCCAAGGCCTTGGAACCCAGCAGGCACGTGGGAGACCGGGAAGAAGATCTGGGCTCCTGGCTTCAGAACCAGCTTAACTCTGGCTCTGGTGGCCACTTTGGGAGTGAACCAGGGGCGGAAGATCTTCCTCTCTGTCTCCTCTTTGTAAACCTGCCTTTCAGTAGAAATAATAAAAGAAATACATCTTAGAAAAAAATTGTCTCGTGCCATCAGTTGGCACCCTCAATTCATGGAACTGTATTTGAAACCTTGTATATGCGCTCCTTCCCTGAATACCAAAAGCAGCGGCAGAAACTGAGCGTCTACCTCCGTATGAAAACAATTGTAATACACAAGATAATGGATGAGATGACCGCCGCCTCAGGGCGGGTTAGGATGGGATCTATTGTTAGTGGCTTGAAAACAAAAACAAGCACACACCCGGTTACGTTTTTGTTTGTTTTGTAAAATCCGGGAGGGCAGGAGAAAGGCCAGGGGGGAGATGAGCGGAAACGTCAAACAGAATGAGAAAGCAACCAGTCCGCCCCCACGCCGGACAAATCCGGACGGACCGAGGCGGCGTTTCCTTCCGGCAGCCAAACCGCCTCTACCTTTAGAAGCCAAATTTAGGTCCGGTTTCCTTGGAGACGAGAAAACTCAAGGAAAAGCGAGGGTTCAAGACTCCTCCCCCCATCTCTTCAAGTGGAAGTCGTGTTCAACTTGGAACCAACAGGAAACCCAACCAGCAAAGCCACCTCTTCCCCACACCGCCATTGCTCCGCCCCAGCCACAGCATAGCTCCGCCCCCGGCTCCTGCCCGGTTCCGCCCCCAGCATAGCTCCGCCCCCTGCCCGCCCCCAACATAGCTCCACCCCCAGCGCCGACCCCGCCACAGCATAGCTCCTGCCCCTGCCCGGCCCCGCCCGCGCATCGCTCCGCCCGCAGCTCCGCCCCCGCATAGCTCCGGCCCCGCCCAGCTCCGGCCTTGCTCACTGTAGCTTTTCCCCGAGGCTCCTGCCTGGCCCCGCCCCCGCATAGCTCCGCCCCCGGCTCCTGCCCGGCCCCCCTCCGCCTCGCTCCACGCCAGCTCCGGCTACGGCCCCGCTCATCATAGCTCTTTCCCCTGGTTCCTGCCCGGCCCCGTCCCAGCATAGCTCCGCCCCAGCTCCATTCCAAAATCCCTCCTCCCCCAGCGTCGCTTCACCGCCCCGCCCCCGGTTCTGCCCCCCCGCCCCGCTCCTGCCATCTCGGCCCCGCCCCCGGCCCGCCCAGTCCCGCCCCACCCCGGCCCGCCCCCTCAGCTCGGCCGGACGCCGCTGCTCGGTGCGGCCGCCAGGGGTCGCTGCACGCCGCGTGGCGAGGTCGACGTCCTCCCCCGCGCCGCTCCGCCCCGAGCCAGAGTCGGCGCCAAAATCAAACCCGCTCCGCCCCTCGCTCCGCGCCGCCGCAGCCCCGCGCAGCGCCATGGTAAGAGCTGAGCATGCACTGGTGGGCCCTTTCCTCCTTAGTGTCGGGGCTGTGAGTCCCTCGGCGGCGCTGGCGGAGCTCCTCGGCCGTGCCGCCACCCTCGCCCCGGAACCCGCGCGGCGCCCGAGCTGCGGAGGCGGGCGGGCTCCGGGAGCGTTCGCGAACGTGGCGTCTGTCTGCAGCGCCTGGCTTCACGGCTGGGGGGGGTCCCCCTCACGGCTGGGGGTCCCCCTCATGGCTGGGGGCGCCCTTCACGGCTGGGGGTCCCCCTCACGGCTGGGGGTCCCCCTCACGGCTGGGGGCGCGGCTGAGGGGTCCCCCTCACGGCTTGGGGGGGTCCCCTTCACGGCTGGGGGTCCCCCTCACGGCTGGGGGCGCGCGCTGAGGGGTCCCCCTCACTGTTGGGGCGTCCGCCCGGCGCGCCCCGCACCTGCGCGCAGTCCCGACCAGCCCCCCCCACCTTCGGGCTAGCAAGGCGCAGGAGCCCCTGCTGGGGCGACCCCCAGCCCTGTGAAGCCCCCTCTTTTCACGCCCCCGCCTCCCTTCTCATGGCAGAGGGTGGGCATCGCGAGCACTGCTTCTGAGATTTTAATATCTCCATTTAGTTACAGGGCCGTTTATCAGGGTGGGAGTGTTTGGAAAGGCTGGTCCAGGTGTGAGTTATAACCGGTAACGGCGTCTTTGCGGTGAAATGCGCCCGCAGCACCTGCGTGCGGACCGGGTCCAGGGCCCGCGGCGCTCTGTGCTCTGGCACAGGCCAACTTGAGAACTGCGGGTGGACCTGGTGACTTGATTGTTTGACCCCATCTGTCTCACTCGGACCACCTGCTGATTAACTCATTGTGGGCTGGTGATGGCTCATATCTCCAGTAAGACAGGGAATTCGTGTATATATATGGATATGTACACACAAGTATGAGAAAGAAGTGTTAAGTTGACAAACTTTTGTTCTTTGACCTGATTTGATTTGGTTGGACCTGCTGGGTAAAAGACTTTTAAATCCAGGCATATTCTTAGTGCATTTAAAAAGAGTGCTTTATTGGAAAGGCAATTAGAGACAGTTGGCCATCCCAACCGGCCCCAAATGCCCAGCCAAAACCCCCAGGGTCTCCCATGCAGGTGCAGGGGCCCAAGGACTTGAGCCACTTCCCATTGCTTTCCCAGGCTGAGGCAGGGAGCTGGATGTAAAGTGGAGCAATCAGGACTCCATCTGGTGCCCATATGGAATGCTGGTGCCCCAAGTCAAGACTTAAGACGCTGCGCCACCCTGGCCCCACTTAGTGTATTGGACAATTTTTATTTATTGGAAAGGCAAACAAAGCAGTCTGCTTTCCGCTGGATCATTTCGCAGATGCCTAGGTCAGCCGAGGCTGGGCCTGGCAGAGCCCCAGGCCAGCCTCCCCGGTGCCTGGCAGGGGCCCAGTGGTGCCTTCCGGGATGCGCCTTGGAAGGAAGCTGGAATCGGAGCAGAACTATCTCCCATACATGGGCACTCCGTTGTGGAATGCTAGGAACTAAACTAGTGTGTCAAACGCCTGCCGCCAGACGTTTGCTTGGAAACGAGGCGATTCAGTTCTGAGAGCAACAGATGACATCTGCTTTTTCGTTTTTCTAAATGTCATTGTATTTGGTCACAGCTGTTTTAATAATCCTGTAGCTCCTGGTCATAGAGAATTCTTAAACAAAGGACCTTTGAAAAGTGCTTTAAAATACCTGGGTCACGGGGAGGATTATGGTCCCCAGGTCGTTTTGAATCTCTACTACACTGAATAGTCTCTCTCTCTCTCTCTCTTTTGTTTGTTTGTTTTATAAGATTTGTTTATTTTTATTTGCTAGGCAGATATACAGAGAGAAGGAGAGACAGAGAGGAAGAGCTTCCATCTACTTGTTCATTCCCTAAATGGTCGCAACAGCCACAGCTGAGCTGATTTGAAGTCAGGAGCCAGGAGCCTCTTCTGGAACTCCCATGTGGGAGCAGGGTCCCAAGGCTTTGGGCCGTCTTTGACTGTTTTCCTAGGCCACAGGCAGGGACCTGGATGAGAAGCAGAGTAGCCAAGATTAGAACCGATGCCTGTATGGAATCCTGGCACATACAAGCCAAAGACTTCAGATACTAGGCCACTGTGCTGGGCCCCTTCTCTAACTTGTATCAGATTTTTTTAGTCCTAAGTGAGTCCTTGTTTATTTTGCTTTTCTCTAAAAAGGTGTGTTTGGGGCTGGTGCAGTGGTTAATCCTCTGCCTGTGGTGCTAGCACCCCCATGAGTGCCATTTCATGTCCTAGCCGCTCCACTTCCATCCAGCAACCTGTTGATGACCTGGGAAAGCAGTGCAGGACGGCTCCAAAACCCGAGGACCCTGCATACAGGTGGCAGATCCGGAGGAAGTTTCTGGCTTCAGAATGGCTCACCTCCGGCCATTGTGGCCCTTCAGGGAGTGAGCGAGCAGATAAAAGATATCTCATGCTCACTCGTTCTGACTTTCAAGTAAAATACTTTTTTAAAAGAGGGCCCAGTATGATAGCATAGTGGTTAAAGTCCTCGCCTTGAATTTGCCAGGATCCCATATGAGTGCTGGTTTTAATCCCGGCGGCCCTGCTTCCCATCCAGCTCCCTGCTTGTGGCCTGGGAAAGCAGTCGAGGACAGCCCAAAGCTTTGGGACCCTGCACTCACTTGGGAGACCCAGAGGAGACTCCTGACTCCTGGCTTTGGATTGGCTCAGCTCCAGCCATTATGGCTGCTTGGGGAGTGACTCATTGGATGGAAGATCTTCCTCTCTCTCTCTCTCATCTGTGTATATCTGCCTTTCCAATAAAAATAAATAAATAATTTTTTAAAAAATAAATTTTTTAAGGACTGCTAAAGTGGCATCCTTTTATTTTAATGCTGTGTTGTGGGTGAATTGCAGCAAATTCTTTCTGTAGGCATTAGAAGTAATAAGCAAAGGGCCTGGCGCCGTGGCACAGTGATTAAGGTCCTCGCCTTGCACGCCCGGGATCCCATATGGGCGCCAGTTCTAATCCTGGCAGCCCCGCTTCCCTTCTAGCTCCCTGCCCGTGGCCCGGGAAAGCAGTCGAGGACAGCCCAAAGCTTTGGGACCCTGCACCCGCGTGGGAGACCCGGAAGAGGTTCCTGGCTTCGGATTGGCATAGCATCGACCTGTTGCGCTCACTTGGGGAGTGAATCATCGGACGGAAGATCTTCCTCTCTGTCTCTCCTCTCTGTATATCCGCCTTTCCAATAAAAAATAATAAAAATAAATCTTTTTAAAAAGAAAAGAAGTAATAAGCAAAGCGGCTAGCACAGTTTGAGCTCCTCCACATCCCAGTAGCTCCCAGCAGCCAGGCTGAGCACTCGCAGCTTCCCAGAAGCGGTGCTGACACTGGCTCTTGCTCCAGGGACCAGGCATGTTCTCCCAGAGGGTGAAGAGTTTGCCAGGAGCTGTTCAGGATGCCAGGAAATTGGGAGCCATCCCGAAGCCTTGCGGATTCAGCCACAGATGAATGCGAGATTGACTGTCCCACACAGCTGCCAGTGTCTGCGGGATGTGCCTGCACACAGTGGCTCTGCTGCTGCGGTTCTTCGAAGATTGATTGATTTTACGATAATAAAGATGTGTCATCCGCTGGTTCACTCCCCAAGTGGCTGCAGTGGCCGAAGATGAGCTGATCCAGCAGCCAGGAGTCTTCTCTGGGTCTCCCGCGTCGGGGCAGGGACCCAAGGACTTAAAGCTATCAGGTGCTTTCCCAGGCCACCAGCAGGCAGCTGGATGGGAAGTGGAACAGCTGGGACACGAGCCGGTGCCTCTATGGGATGTCAGTGTTTGCAGGTGGGTGAGTGGCTGGTTTAGCTGTCGGCTGGCCCCCAAAGCGTCAAAGGTGAAGTGGTGGTTTGAGACGTACTGGAACAGAGAAGTGAGCTGCAAACTGCCTTGATGGAGTGTGGAGTCCTGCTTGGTCAGTGTATTCAGGAATTGCAGACAGCGTTCGGACTGCTGGGTCCCGGCTCAGTCGCCTTCCGGGCGGAGACCCCACAGGTGGATCTGTGAGCTCGGCGACCGCGGGCCTCAGGGCTCCCTATTGGAACTTCACCCTTCGTTGTGTCTGTGAGAGTGTGGTGGGTGGGGAGGCCTGGCAACGAGTAGCCTCCGTGTTTAGAGTTTGGGGCTTTGGGTACAGGGTCCCCGGGGGTGAAGGCTTTCCTGCCTGTGCCGCCCAGCTTGGCTCGGAGCCTAGGTGGTGCCTGCCCTGGTGGCCTTGGGGCTGCTGAGAGACAGACCTGCACACTTTGTCAGTGAATGGTTTGGTGAAGCTGCATTCCGGGGAGGGGAGCTTAGCCTGTGAGATGATATTCTAGGAGAGAGTTCCGAAAGCAAGGCTTGGGAAACTTCCGGGCTTGAGAAGGTGTTTTAGGGAAAGAGTCAACGTGGCTCACAAGGCACAGAAATGTGATTTTACTCTTCGAGGAGAGAATCACAACTTTTTGGTTTCCAGCTGAAGTTGCTTAGCTCTCACCGTTATGGTCAAATTTGAGGTGTGGAAGGTGGAAGAGGCTGAGAGGTAGATTGTGGTAAGGTTATAGAAAACTTTTTATGCAGTTTTAATATTGATAGAACTGGATATTATAAGTAATTTTGGTGACACAGTCATTAGAATGCATATGTAGTTTTTTTTTTTCCATAGTAAGCTTTTGGTTTTTAAATTTATTTTTTTTATTGGGAAGGCAGATTTACAGAGACAAGGAGAGACAGAAAGATCTTCCATCCCCTGGTTCACTCCCAAAGTGACCGAAAAGGCCAGTGCTGCGCCAATCCAAAGCCAGGAGCCAGGAACTTCCTCCAGGTCTCCCACGCGAGTGTAGGGTCCCAAAGCTTTGGGCCTCAAACAGGGAGCTGGTTGGGAAATGGAGCAGCCAGGACATGTAACAAGTGCCCGTATGGGACCCTGACACGGTCAAGGTGAGTACCTTACCCACTAGGCTATCATGCCGGGCCCTGAAAACT